TCGCCTCTGTCGCTGACTGCTGCAGCAGCTACTACAACTGGCCGCCCTGCTGGGTGCTCGCAGCGCCGTGGTGGTCGAGGGCCTCACCATCGGCAGAGGTGGGGGCACTGGTGAGGCCCGGGGAGCTGGCGGAGGAGCAGTTGCAGAGGAGAGGGAGAAGCAGCAACCGCAGCAACAGCAGGAGCAGCAGCAACAACACGCATAGCAGCCTCAGCAGTAGCAATCGTAGTGGGGCCCTGGGAGTTCCGAGCGTGGTGTAGGCCGAGGTGGTTGGGCCCTCGAGCATTCGCTGCCCTAGGGCTCACGTGTCTCCTCTGTGTAAGAAATAGAGTTGAAATGATTGATTAGGAAAGGAGCCCAAGGCTCTATAAGTACATGGCAAGGTGAGAGTGAATGGATGAAGGGGGAATTGGAGGGAATCCCCATTGGGATCTCCGGAATCTCCAATTGGGTAATTGGAGATTGGGGGGATCACAATTGGGTGAGGTTGGGATTTGTGAGTACACCCCAACCCACTAGAACATTCATAACCTAAACTAGGATATAAAAGTACAAATACAAAAGTGGTATTTGCAGTCTATTTCTAACACTCTGGGGGCTAGGGTGGCGTGGGGCCTTGGGGCACTATGCACTATGTGTACCACATCTAGACCGGCCTCCTGCACGGCACGGTTTCCAAGCGCACGGATCACACCGCCACTCGCTGCTTTCATTGCATAGACTATCGCCTGGATTATCTGTAAAGTGGTCACTTTGGGCCTTTGGCGTCCCCGTCGGACTGACCTATCCTTATCCGTCACGACGTCCCGGTGTTTGATATGGAGATGGCTCAGATATGCCCTACCATGCTTTCGTTGTATTCTGATGCTTATAGTGCTGCTGAATAATATTATACTGCTGCATGTAGTCTAGGATTCCCTATTGTGTGTAGTCAAGGCTCCTCGCCGGCCCCTACTACGACGGCTCTCTCCTTCACTCTAGACTCTCGCGTATCACATTGCGATACCACACCGCTTCCTGCGCCGGTACCGGTCTCCCTCCCAGACTCGCCTGCCACAGTCGTCGTCCGCAGCACCACTGCCCTCCCCTGTCCGGCTGTCCCTTCCGGCTCCCTTACCGGCTTGCATATCCCCACGTTTTCCAGGAACCTGGTTGGTGTTGGTCATATTCAGAACCTCGGAGTCATCACCACGTTACCTAGCCACGAAAGGTGTGCAGCCAGTACGGACATAGCCACGCACGCCTATCTTGCCACCTTTGACCGCAGCCCAGCGTCTGGCCTCTTCACACTGTACACGGAGTCCCCCCAGGTAGCTGTGTCATGCTCTTGACACTCCCTCACCCACCCGGCACTCCTGTGGCACCACTGCTTAGGTCACCCTACTCTCCCATGTCTATGTCCTATGTTATAGTAGGGTCTAATCACAGATCTCCCCGTGTTGCTCCCTGTCCTCCCCGCTTCAGTAGACCCCGCATGCATCTCCTGCGTCAAGGACCGGCAGTGCGCCGCCCTTCACTCCTCTTTATTTACTCCACGACAACGCTGCACCTGGTGATCTGGGGCCCCGCCCCAGTCCAGGCACCTCACAGGGAGCACTATTTCCTGGTTCTTGTCGATGATTTCTCGTGGTTTACCACGGTGTTCTCGTTGGAGCAAAAGGCCAACGTGCCTAAGACCCTCCTCCCATGGCTCAGTGTCATTTGTACCCAACACCCCCTGCCCGTGCTTCATCTTCACTCCCACCGTGGTGAAAATTTTTCCTTTTATTGTCTCGGCGCGTTCAGCTGTGCGGAGGGCATCACCCAAACATTCACCCTACTAGACTCGCCTCAGCACAATGGGGTAGCTGAGTGACGCATCAGCCTGGTCATGGAGGTGGCCTGCACCTCCATGGTCCATGCCGGTGCACCTCCATTGTCCATACCGGTGCACCCCATTTTTTGTGGATGTTCGCGGTGCGGTACGGGCTCACCAACTTAACCTGTGGCCTTGCTGCTCGCGGCCGCAGGTTTCGCCAACCCTGCTCTGGACTGGGGCCACTGTTGACGCGTCCGCGTTTCACGTATGGGGCTGCCTAGCTCATGTCTGCGACACCCATGTGAAAAAACTCTCCACCCCCACCCTCCCCATGTGTCTTCCTTGGGTTCCTGCTCGACGCTCCTAATTGACTATTCTACCACCCGGTGCAGCACCGCTTCGAACACTCTCGCGACGTTACGTTTAATGAGTCTGTCTCGTTCTAGTCTTGCTTCCCTCCCTGTGGCAATTGTGTTCAGCCTCCCCCTCTATTCCTCGCCCCTCCTCCGCCTGCAGCTCCCCTGTCACCCTGCTTGGCCCCGTCTAGTGTCTCCCACGCCACTCCCCTACCCTCGGTTGGGCCTATGGGGGTGTCTGCTGACTCTTGGAGCCCCGTGGCTAGGGTCGCGCCTGTGCTCATATCCACCCTATGATCCTTCATTCTCGTGTTCCTCCAGTCCCCGTCCTACTGCTTCCTCCCTAGTCGTCCCTACTCTTGTCCTCTGCTCCTCCCTCTGACTCTGCAGAACTGCTCGCCCAATCGTCTCCCACTTACTTGCGTCTCTTGTTACTACCCCTACGGCTCCTCTTTCTGGTGTCTCTGCCCTCGTCGCTGGTGTCGCTGACTTTGTCGTGAGCCACCGCCTTAACTATGCCTCTGCTTTGGTCTTTGACCTTGCCTATTCTCTATCCATCAGAGGTGCACCTGCCCTTGGCACTGACGTTCCAGAGGATAGGCAATACAAGCTCGTTTTTTCTTGCGGCTGCTATACCTCATCTCTGCGCCATGCTTGTGTCCCCTGAGGGTGGTGACCCGGATGCCCTGGACATCCCTATCCTGCGCTCATACACTGAGGCAGTCTTGGGGCCCTGGGCAGCCCAGTGGATAGAGCCCATGGAGGCAAAAATGACATCTCATAGATGCACTAGCACTTACGTCGACAGAGTTCCCCCACTTGGGGCGAACATAGTCGATTGCATAAGGACCCACCTGGAGAGCTGCCGAATTTCAAGGCACAGTATGTGGCCAAAGGCTTCAGCCAACGAGAGGAGGTTGACTTCGTCCTAACCTTCTCCCCCACCTCGAAGATGACTACTGATCGGGTGCTCCTCTACATAGTCACACAACATGACTACAAGCTCTACTCTCTGGAATTCTCGGCAGTCTTCTTGCAAAACAAATGAGCAGATCTTCTTGCGGTGCCCACCAGGCTTCTCTGGGTCCTTCATTCTAGGGACCTAGTAGAGCCTGCGCTGCCTTGTCTACGATCTGTGCTAGGCACCCCACGAGTGGCACGACCCGCTGTGCACGACACGCTGCGCACAACACGCTGCGTACGATACGTGCTGCTTTCCAGTTCCTCCCGTCCTCTGCTGACCCATCATTCTTCGTTCGTGCTGGTCATACCCCATCCAACCTACGTGTGTATGTAGACAACGTGATCTTTGCTACACCAGATAGGGTCGGACTGGCCTAAGTGAAGGCCGAGCTGCTGACGCGATACGTCTGCACAGACCTGAGAGAGCTGCTACACTATCTAGCTGGGAGATCTCTCGTGACCATGAAGCGCACAGTCACAGTCTCCCAGTCCCACATGGTGCAGCAGATCCTCCAGAGGTTCAGCCATCAATTTTTGTCAGCACTGCCCATTCCCTTGCTTGTGGACCACAAGCTCTCAGCTCCTGTTTTTTATGAGCGGGTCGAGCCCAGTGGTCCATACACAGAGCTAGTGGGGTGCCTCATGTATCTGATGACGTGAACTTGTCCAGAACTAGCGTACCCTCTCAGTACCCTTGCTCGCTTTGTTGCGAGTGACAGACACTGACCAGAGCATTGGTCAGCTGCCACGAGGGTATCGCAGTATTTGGCGAGTACATCAGGACTGGGGCTTGTGCTGGGAGGATGGGAGCTAGTCGTGTTCACTTGACATACAAACGCGTCGTGGGCTGACGACCTGGAGACTGTCAGGTCCTCACAGGGCTACTGCTTTAGCCATGGAGTACTGTAGGTGCCGTCTCATGGCGGTCCACTTGGTCATCGTCTGTAGCACAGTCCAGTTGTGAGGCAAATATCTACGCTAGTGCTATGGCTGCTCATGAGCTCCGTTGGCTGACGTTTCTGCTCAATGCCTGAGGTTAGCAGCCCAGGTCTCTCCCTGTCCTATTTGCTGATAGCAAGGCCATGATCCTCTTGTGTCAAGAGGCTCGACTTGATGGCAAGGCCAAGCACATCCAACTGCGGTACATCCTGCTGTGTACGTTGCAGCAGCGCAGCCAGGCCTGCGTAGTACAGTTGGCCTCAGAGGCCAACACTGCTGATATCTTCATCAAGGCCCTTGGGCCTCGTGGTTGACTATCTGCGGCTTTGTTCGCATGTTTTGCATTAATTTGGGTTTTTTTTGCTTTAAGACCACTATACATTAAGCCTTAATGCTCAATGGTGGTGCGATTTGGGAGGGGCATATAGCGGATGTGTTCATAGCACAAATATCCAGAATAGTACATTGGATCTAAATCATATCCCAAAACATATACAAAGGGTACATCCTGACAAATAGTTCCAAGCAGAGAGAGCAAACTTCAGAAGTGCGTTTCTAGTTCCTAGCCCACCGACCTTTGGCCTTGATCACTGCCCGCACCCTCCCAGACATGCTGTCGATCAGGCTAGTGCAAACTACGGCATGGATCTTCTCCCATTCTTCCTGGACCAGGTCTTAAAGCTCCAGCATTCCAGAGAAAGGCCTTTTATGCTTGGTCAGCTACTTTTTCAGGTAAGCCCAAAGGTTGAGGTTTGATGAGAATGCCTGTCCATGGCTACATACTCATATTCTCCAAGTCATTCCTTCACTAGGCATGACAAATTGTTGGGGTCATTGTCCGCATTGAAATGACCTCATAGAGGAAAATGCTATAGAAATTGAGGGTCAATTCGAGTTTATTATGCAAAATGCCCGTATACAAGGGCCTCTCCATGCGCCCATCAATCTTGTGTTAGGATTAAGGACAGAGTCTAGGTGAACTTAGGAGCTAGAATTACTCAAAATATAAATCCGAAATTCTGGACAGAAAAGTCGTCTTCACAAGAAACGACGTCGACAAAACACTAGCCGTTGGAATGTCGCGAAACTTGGATATGTTGTAGCTCTTGATCTCAGCTACCGTTCCCAATTTGAATCACGTTGATTGATGAAGTATTCGCGACGCTATGGCTTTCGACGCACTAGGGGGTAAGCTGTAGGAGGAGAACTTAACTCAATCTCAAGAGTTCAATCAAAGTTCAAGAATCTCACAAGGAATTAGAAGGAGCAAGAGAAAGGTTGGGATAGGAAGAGAGGGATGAGAGGGAAGGTCCCAAGAGAGTCCCCAACCAAGGAAACCCCATAAGCACAAAGATTCCCTCCCTATAGGAACCCCAACTTTGACATTTGTCCCTTCCCAACCAATCCATCCAAGTTGGCCACCCTTGCCAACCTAGCTTGGTTGTTCCCAACCAATTTGCAGCTGTTACAGTAGAGTGACAAGTTTCCCCAACCCCAAAGGTCCCAACTCCATATAAAGTCACCCCACAACTTCACTTAGTAACCGCCGCAATTGTAACGCAAGCTCATGAACTTTGAATCTTCATAGCTTTCGCGTTCTTGCTCCGATTGAAGCGATTCTTGTTGCGTCGGAAAGATCTTCTCAAGATCTATTATCACAAATACCTGCTCAGACAGAATAACACAAAACACATTCCCAAACTCCAGAACACACCACACACAAATGCTTGCACATTCAAACCACACATGCAAGTTGAAAAAACATGGGATGGGAGGCAGACAGAATGTGATAGCATATGATGACATCACACAACAATCTCCCCCTCTGGCTGCCAACCATCATCGACCATACCACATCTCAAGCATGCATACTCAATGCACACTCATCCCAGCAAGCTTCATGCCCTTCCAATGATCCGCCTCCGCCAGACGCTTAGTGAAAATATCTGCTGCCTGCTGATGGGTCTTCACTATCTCCAGCCGCACCTCCTTATCAAGGAGTCTCCTCACCCAATGCCACTTAGGCCTTATGTGTTTTGTCAGCCCATGCAGACAAGCATTCTTGGCGAGCTTCACAGCGGACTCATTGTCACAAAACACAACTGTCGGCTTCTCCTGACCAACTCCCAACTCCTCCAACAAACGCCTTAGCCACACTACTTCCTTGGCCCCATGGTGTAAGGCCATGTACTCAGTCTCACATGAGGACAATCCCACCTCATTCTGCTTCTTGCTGCGCCAGCTCACAGCACCACCTCCTAGCAAGCACACATAACCCCCAATGCTGGTGCCATCCGCTTTCACTGAGTTGAAGCTAGCGTCAGTATAGCAACTCAAGAGCATCTCTCCACTCTTCACATCTGCAGCACCTCTCTGCAACCGCTGCCTCACTCCACTGTACTCCAATCCCACTGATGCCGTAGCGCTCACATAGCGGACCAACCTCTTGGCCGCTTCCAGCTGCTCATGACTAGGGCGTGAGACCACACTAGCCAATCGTGATGTAGCAAATGCAATGTCAGGCCGTGTATGATTTGCAGCATAATTCAGCGACCCAACCATCGAATGAAACAGCTTCCTGTCACTATCACCCACTACCTCCTCATCAGCACATGGCTCCACAGTAAACCCTGAAGGTAGTGGTGTTGCTGGCTTTCCCCCATCTTGCAGCCCATACTTCTCAGCCAGCCCCTCACAGTACTTCCTCTGGTGCAACCTCAGCACACCCTTTTCCACATCTCTCTCCACGTGCATCCCCAAGTAGTACTTCACCTCACCCATCTTGGAGCACTTGAACTGCATCTCCAGCATCTGCTCTGCGCTGTCCAGCAAAGCAGTTGATGCAGAAAAGAGAAGGATATCATCCACATACACCAAGAGCATGAGGATTTCGTCCTTCTCCTGCAGCAGGAACAGGCTGGGGTCACACTCACTCTTCTTGAAACCCCCAGCCAGCAGCGCCTCCTCCAACTTGTGATACCATGCACGAGGCGCCTGCTTAAGGCCATAGATGGCCTTCTTCAGCCTGCAGACCCTGCCGCTCCCATCATCCAGCCCCTCTGGCTGCTTCATGTACACCTCCTCCAGAATGATCCCATTCAGAAAGGCAGTCACAATGTCCATCTGCCGAATCTTCCATCCCAGGAGTGCAGCTATCGCCAACAGCACCCTCAATGTTGTTCCTTTCCCCACAGGAGCAAACACCTCATCATAGTCCTTCCCCTTTGTCTGCTGAAACCCCCGTGCCACAAGCCTAGACTTGTAGCGGGTCAGCTCCCCTTCAGGTCCATACTTGTGCCTGTAGATCATCTTGGAAGTGATTGCCTTCTTTCCAGGAGGCAAGTCACACAGGTCCCATGTCTCGTTCTCAATTAGGGACCCGAACTCCTCATCCTCACTCGCCTTCCACTTCTCCCCATTTGGTCCATTCAAGGCCTCTTCTCGAGTCTTGGGCTCAGGGATTGGTGCCCAGTAGCAGTGAGCGATCTCATCTTCCTCAATCTGCTCAACCACACTCCCAGCCTGCACCACATTCGGCTTGCCTCTTCCCCCATAGGTCAGCCTCACTGGAGGGCGCACATCCCTCCTAGGACGCTCAGGCGGGTGTGGAACTCGAGGTGGAGACTCATGCTGCTGCTGCTGCTGCTCTACTTCAGCTGCTCCCCCTTCCTCAGTCACCCCAGACATCTCCTCCTCTGACACTGCAACCTCCACCTGTCTTGAAGGGTGCTGCACCTCATCTGCCTCCACAATGAGCGGTGTAGATGGAAGCTTCTGTTGCTGCTGCTTCCATTCCTTGTAGTACAGGGACTCAAGAAACTTCACATCCCTTGACACTGTCAACTTCTGGGTGGTCAAGTCCCATAGCAGCCACCCCTTGTGATCCTTTGCAATCCCCAAGTGCACACCCCATCTTCCAGAAGCCTCCAACTTCCCCCTTTTCTCCTTAGGCACATGAAACACCACCATGCACCCAAATGCCCTCAGCATGTTCACAGCTGGAGCACTCCCATACCACTTGACGTATGGGATCCACTCCTTATCTCCAACTGTAGCCAGCACCCTGTTCTTCACAAGGGCGACCTGCCTCAGTGCAGACACCCAAAACGGATCAGGCAGCCCTGCACGCCCAAGGAGAGTGCGTGCCCCCTCCTGCAGGGTCCTGTTGAACCTCTCAGCCACGCCATTCTGCTGTGGGTTGTAGGGCACTGTCAGTTGATGCTGGATCCCCTTCCTCTTCAACTCCCCCTCAAAATCAGCTCCAATGAACTCCCCACCATTGTCACTACGGATCACCTTCACCTTGTGTCCGCATTCCCTCTGAGCTCTCGGCATCCACTCCTTAAGGACAGCCGCTGCCACCTCCCCCTTGCTCTTCAAAGGGTAAACCCACACTGCCCAAGTGTGGTCATCCACAATTGTCAAGAAATAGCGGCTGCCTGAGAGGGAAGGGGCTCTTGTGGGCCCCACCACATCCATGTGCACAAGTGCAAGTGGGGTCTTGGCTGGTCCTGTAGTGCTGTTGAAGGGGAACTTGGAGAACTTGGTCTCCAAGCATGTAGGGCAGCTCCCAATCTCCTTCACTCCCCCTTTCACCTCCAAGCCCTTCAGGCTCCCATCCTTCACCAACTTCTGCAGCATAGGGAAGTTCACATGACACAGCCTCTCATGCCATGTCTCCCAATCGGCCTCTCCACTCCTTGGTGAAGCCTTAGCCCATGCCGCACTCGCATCCACACCAGCAAGCACCTCACCATGTGTCTGCTGCTTCTGCACTTTCTTGACTGCTTCCAGGACCCCATCAGTTGGTGCAGTTGCATCTCCTCCTGCTGTTGCCTTTGCCACTGCTGCCGTTGCTGCTGTTGGAGTCTTCCCATTCCAAGGGATGATGGGCAGCTGCCACAGGTCCTTGATGCAGCTGGTCTCCTCTTCCAGACTCCACAGCACCTTCTTCCCAAGCTTAGCACGGCAGCTGGTTGGTCCAAAGGTCACTTCGGCCTTACTCTTCTGCAGCCGCCGCACAGAGAGAAGGTTAGCAGACAAGCCTTTAACCAGCAGAACATTCCCAAGCCCCACAAGCTCCCCATTAGCTCCCTTAACCTTGGCATTCCCAACACCAATCACGGGGAGCAAAGCACCTGACGCTGCTGCCACATACTTAATCTTCCCAGGGGGTTTTACCTCATCAAGCAAATCTGCCCGTGGAGTCATGTGACTGGTGCAACCCGAATCAATCACCCAGTGCGTGAGAGGGTGCATCACAACCTTTCCCACAGATCCCACATCACCCTCATGCCCATGCACATCCTCAACCATAACAAACAAACCAGGATAGGCATTACCTTGTGCACCTTCACCTTGTGCACCTGAGCCTTGCACAGCGCCACCTTGTGCGCGTTCACCACTGGGCGGCTTCATGCCTGGAGGTGCCCATCCCTCCAGCCTGCTGAAGCACTTGAACCAAGGATGCCCAACCTTCTTGCAGTACCAGCACGTGCCCTCCATTCTGGTACTCCCCCTGCCACTAGAGCTCCCATGCCCCTCATTATAGTCACCTCGGCCTCTACCTCTGCCAAAGCTCCTCCCACGGCCTCGGCCTTTCCAACCCCCTCTTCCTCTGCTGCGCCCTGCAGCTCCATACCCCTCAGCAGTCTTAGTGGCAGCACCGCCTCCCACATGGCGTCTGCGGAAGTCCTCCTGCAGAATCTGCTGCCTTAGCCACTCAGGTGTCCATTGATCTTGCTGAGAGTTGAGGGTGGGGATGAGGTTGTCCCAAGAGTTGTCCAACACCGAGATGATCTTGGTGCACTGCTGCAGCTGAGATACACTGCTGCCCGCTGCTGCCATCCTTGCATAGGTGTCCTTGATCTTGTCAAGGACCGGCTTCACATCGTCCCCTGGTCGCATGGAGATGGCAGCAAGTTCCTTCTCGAGCACGATCACCATCGGGAGAGTGTTGGGCTGAACCACATCACGTAGTAGTTTCCACGCCCTTGGACCCGAATCATCCGCTTCCACAAGATCCTTGATGTGCTCGAACATCTCCTTGTTGACCGATTGAAGAATGAGGTCGAAAAGCACCGCGCTTTTCTCAATCCACCGTTCACGTGCTTCGCCTTCTTCCGGCATCTTCTCTTCCCCAACAGCAATCTTCAGGAGCTTGTAGCGTTTGAAGGCACTCCTCATCCGTCCGCTCCATTCCTCATAGTTGGAGCCATCCAAAGCTTCAACTTTTGATGGCGGCGGCTCACTTGTCTTCTCAGCTACAGCTCCTCTTCCATTAGCATCTCCTCCTCTCTCATTCATCTTCTCCTTGAGAAATGACGAATTTCAGCTCCCCTTTGCTGTCCACACTCAGCTCCCTCGATATTTTCACAAGTGTCGGCGTCCACGAAATTTCGGCAGAGTTTCCCCTTAGCGGAAGACACATCCAACCTTTAGAACACCACTTAGGCACACCCACAGGCCATGGTGGGTCTAGAAGGGTCTTCACACTTCTGTAGACTCCTCTCAATGTCCTTAATATCGCTCTGATACCACTTGTTAGGATTAAGGACAGAGTCTAGGTGAACTTAGGAGCTAGAATTACTCAAAATATAAATCCGAAATTCTGGACAGAAAAGTCGTCTTCACAAGAAACGACGTCGACAAAACACTAGCCGTTGGAATGTCGCGAAACTTGGATATGTTGTAGCTCTTGATCTCAGCTACCGTTCCCAATTTGAATCACGTTGATTGATGAAGTATTCGCGACGCTATGGCTTTCGACGCACTAGGGGGTAAGCTGTAGGAGGAGAACTTAACTCAATCTCAAGAGTTCAATCAAAGTTCAAGAATCTCACAAGGAATTAGAAGGAGCAAGAGAAAGGTTGGGATAGGAAGAGAGGGATGAGAGGGAAGGTCCCAAGAGAGTCCCCAACCAAGGAAACCCCATAAGCACAAAGATTCCCTCCCTATAGGAACCCCAACTTTGACATTTGTCCCTTCCCAACCAATCCATCCAAGTTGGCCACCCTTGCCAACCTAGCTTGGTTGTTCCCAACCAATTTGCAGCTGTTACAGTAGAGTGACAAGTTTCCCCAACCCCAAAGGTCCCAACTCCATATAAAGTCACCCCACAACTTCACTTAGTAACCGCCGCAATTGTAACGCAAGCTCATGAACTTTGAATCTTCATAGCTTTCGCGTTCTTGCTCCGATTGAAGCGATTCTTGTTGCGTCGGAAAGATCTTCTCAAGATCTATTATCACAAATACCTGCTCAGACAGAATAACACAAAACACATTCCCAAACTCCAGAACACACCACACACAAATGCTTGCACATTCAAACCACACATGCAAGTTGAAAAAACATGGGATGGGAGGCAGACAGAATGTGATAGCATATGATGACATCACACAACATCTTGCATATGAACCCCACCCCCGCACATGTCACCACATCCCCACATCATCACCGATTCTTGTCCTCATGGTTTACCGTCTGTTTGATTTGGTGGTGCTGTAGGGTTGTGCCTTTACGAATCTAGGCAAACACATGGCCATTGAAGCTGAAGCAGTTGATGCTAGTCCCATTTGACCAGATCACGTGCTTTCGAACATTAATTGTCCACTTAGCATGCGACTCCACGAATTGCAACCGGCCCCTGATATTTTTCCAGAACAGTCATGGCTTCTATGACTGCCGCACCGTGACTAGACCCACGGACACTAGTGTGTTTTTAATGGTACAAGGTAGCACAGCCAACCGTGCAGCGTTACCCTCAGTTTCGCGTGTCCACGCTACATTTGGCCACTCTATTCGTGATTTAACCCTACAATGGTACGACGAAGACGATCCATAATAATATGGGGTCGACAGGCTAATTGCATCGTTCGCCACACCTCATCATGGCTAGTTTCAGAGATACCATTCAATCCAAAATTGCCCACAATGCTCTTGCCTACACCAAACTTTTTTGCGATTTTCCTAATGCTCACCCGCTTATGCAAAATGGTGGGTCCAGGAAGAGTGCAAGAAGTTCCCTGCCGAGGTTTGTACTAGCCTTGTAGGTAACATGCCTAGGAGGGTGTGGGTGGTGATCAAGGTCAAAGGTCAGTGGGCTATGTACCAGAAACACAGTCTTGAAGTTTGCTCTTCCAGCTTGGAACTATTTGTTAAGATGTACCCTTTGTTTGTCTTCTGGGATATCAGTTAGATCCAATGTATTATTCTGGATTTTTGTGTTGCTAACAAACCCACTATGTGCCCCTCCCAAATCGTACCACCATAAAACATTAAGGCTTGAAGTATAGTGGTCTTAAAGCCTAAAACCAAATTAGTGGAAAACATACGGACAATTGTTTCCGCCACTATTTAAGCTGTTCTATACTGATTGTCTTGTTACACTTGCTAAGTGGCCTTCCGGCCTTAATCTCAGAGGTCAGACTAGTAGTGCCACCCTAAGCTTTTTTTTTGGTACATACATTAGAGGCCAGACTAGTAGTGTTGTCCTGGTTTAGCGTGTATTGCTAGACACTGTCCCTATCCCGGCTAGGGGGTGTGTTAGCATTCATATATGTGCTGTTAGGCATATATGCACTGTAGTCTAGCTATGTGCGGACAGTTGAAGTGAACCATGTGTTTAGGGTGGCCAGGATATAGAGCTGGTGGAACCAGAGCAAAATTCAGCCAAAAATTTACACCTTGCATTGGAAATGTCTAAAATGACAAGGATAATAATGATGAGTAATGCAGGGATATTTATAGTCTAGAAAGCACCTATTTGGAATGTACCTGTTTGTAGTGTATCGCGACTATTCGCGTGACATGACTAGTGACTGTTCGTGTGACTGAGAGTGGCGTGACCTTTCATGTCACAGGATCGAATGTGTCGAGGAAAGGTTGCACTATCGATCAGTACAAGGCGCTTTTATACTTCCAGAGTACATCAGGTAACCAGGTTTATCTTATCCTAAGGGAATAGACCCTTCTAGAAGATAGAATCACCCTGCGTATAGCCACGCGAGGCTATTGGCTTTAAGGGATTACAGCAGGATTACGCTAGATAGAGCGCACCAATACATCCCAAGCCTGGTCGGTGATATAATGATAATAGCAGGATAAACCAAAGGTTAATGGAAAAGGAAGAATAGGAAACCAAATGAGATGCGGTAAAAAGAGAAATGAAAAGGGAAGGAAATAAGAAAAGGCCAAGTGGTGTAACGGGGTCGTACTCTCACACTTCCCCCCCTCAAAGCTGGGTGGTAGAAGTAACACCCTGCTTGACAAGGTAGTCATGCAGAGGACGACGGGCGTTACCCATGTCGGACTCAGGTACCCAGCTGTCCTCAGAAGGATCATAACCCTTCCAACGGATGAGAAGCTCCACGGTGCCATTCCGACGACGACGATGTGCAAGCACGGACTCGACCTCGTACTCGGGTTCGTTCTGGACGAGGACGGGCGGCGGCGGCGGCGGCTGACGTCCCACGAAGATCGTGTTAGGATCTCGATAGGGCTTCAAAAGTTGGACATGGAAGGCGTTGTGAATCTTCCAGGTAGCTGGCAGGCGTAAGCGGAAGGTAACAGGAGTGACCTGTGCTTCAACGAGAAAAGGCCCGCAGAAGCGAGGTCGAAGTTTAGATGGGAGGTGGCTGATGTCCAGGTTGCGGGTGTCAAGAAGCACCTGGTCTCCCACCGTGATGGTGTGATCGTTGCGATGGCGATCGGCTTGGCGCTTCTGTTGCTGTTGAATATCGAGTAGGCGCTTGTGGGTCCGATCCCAAAGCTGGTGCATGGTTGTAATGAAATCATGTGCGGGTTGGACTGTAGCTGATGCTGTCGGTTTTTGTGGTGTGAGTGGGTGGCGTCCGTAGCAGAGGAAGAACGGCGTCTGTCCAGTAGCAGCATGTGTAGCATTGTTGTAAGCAAACTCGAGTACGGGCAGGTGCAAGTCCCATTTGGAGATGTCGTCCTTGCAGGCTGCTCGGAGGAGTTGCTCAACAATTTGGTTGAGGCGCTCGGTCTGTCCGTCTGTCTGCGGATGGTATGCGGATGACAT